CTCCCTCCCTCCCTCCCTAAATAGCATCCCTGGATTGGCTATGTTAGTATAGGCTCTGAGTGGAAGTTTGGCCAAGGTTAAACTTTATGCTTTTATTGGGCTGTTGTAGGTTGGCAAGACATGGCCCATGAACCAAATCTGTTAAAAAAAAAAAAAAGTGTTATTAGAACATAGCCATACATTCCTTTACCTGTTGGTTCATATTACTTCATTGTTGTTTCATGTTATAACAGAGTCAAGTAGTGGCAGCAGAGCTGTCAAAGCCCAAAATATTTGGACCATTATATAAAAAGTTGTTAGCCCTTGTTCTAAATCAGAAGAATCCAAACCATTTGGTTGAGTACATTACTGGCTGAGAACCCCTTCTTTGACCCACCCTGGCAAAAGTGGGGAGCATAAAGAGTCTCTGTAGGTTTTCTAAAAATGTCCTTATCCCTCCTGCATCTGACCCTTCTGGGTAAAAAGACCAGATGAATGTGGGAGATGGTTTAAACAGAGTTGACATTCTAGCTAATGGGAAAGGACATACTGATTTGTAGAGGGAAAGAGGACTAATAACACTGGCATCTGAACAGAGGAACTCCTAGGCTATGGAAGTTGTGGACACAAAGACACTGGTGGACTCTGCAGTTCAGAGCAATCTGTGGGAGGCTCTTCACACTGGAAAAATGCCATTGTGAGATTCTCCCGATGGTTGTAAGTGCCTTGGGTTTTCCTGTCTGCTCTCCCCTGTCGGATGACTTGGAACATAATTTGATCTTCATTCATCATAGCCTTCTTCTGAACTGTTCAGCAGACCCTGCCCTTTCTCACACAGAAACATGTCTTTGGGTTCGCCATTCTCATACTGTTGTCAGTTGTCCCACCCTGCTGGTGGCATGTACAGATGAGATGGCAGTCTTCAAAACCAGGAGTGGATTTAGTTATTTGAACTGAGTAAGAAACTATCCTGATGTTACTAACTGGTAATCTCTTAAGAAGTGTAGTCAACTTGTGTACCCCACTTGATGCTGATGCCATTTGTGAGAAACCAGCAGTTATGAGTACTTTTTTCTTTTCAGGAGCACTATTGTTGGGAGCATCCCAAACTGTGCTGCTTGTATGGAAGCTAGGTATTAATATTCCTTCATCTCAGAAACGTGACAACACAGTAGTGATGGTCATTATCAATTTTTAAGAATTCAAAGAAACACCACTGGAAGATTATGAGGCCCTCAGACAACTGTGGAGAGCTCTCCAGATTGAAGCTGCCTTTTGTTACTCAGGGAGGGTTTTCTAGAGCAATGTGGGTGGTGGTATGTGCATACCCTGCTATTCCTACAGTAAGAACCATCCAATTGTTTGTCCTTGACTTTAGCTGAGGTAACTGATAACACATTGCCTCTGGAAGGTATTTATGAGTGCCTTGAGTGTAGAGACCCACAGAGATTTATTTCCTAGTGAGAACTTACTCAGGGTCTGAGAATCTGAGCTTGTTTTCCCCAGCAGGGCTGCATAAAGGGGTGATTGGACCATGGGTGTGGTACTGGGTGTTTGGAAGGGTCTGCACTTGGCTGTGCAGTATGTTTTGATCTAGCAAAGGGGAGGTCTTTTGCCCTGCCCTGTAGACTGTAGATGAATTTCTAAACAGTCTTATTAAATAAGAAACACAGAGCCAAATACAGAGGTAATAGCTGAAGAGATCAGAGTGAATAGCCACGACTAGCCTCAGCTTACCACCTCACAGAAGCTTCCCCAGAGAGAGCTTCTTCCTGCCTAAACTGAGCTTTTATTGCCTTCCTGTTCTGCCTTCTCATGGGCTCTAAGCCCAGCTACATGACTTCCTCATCACTGCCTGTCTATACAGACCTCCGGGTCTCTGTGATTGGTACTGGGATTAAAGGTGTGTGTCACTGTGTCCTTGACCACACAGAGACTCTGCCTGCCATGTGATCGGATTAAAGGTGTGTGCTACCACTGCCTGACTTCTGTTTATGGCTTTTTGACCTGTGATGTACAGGCAACTTTATTTATTAACATACAAATAAAATATCACATTTTATCACAAATAAAATATCACCACAAACTGCATTTTGATTCAAGGGAAGGACTCTTCCTTTAGTCTTTGCAAATTCATTGTTCTCATACTTACAAAGTAGGAATAATAATTATAGTGATAATACAAACTATAGCTATGTCTCTAGAAGACGGAGTGGTTGAAGGTGGTGGTGAAATCATGCGTGTGAGAGCACTTAGTACACAGGAGTTCCCATAGAACAATGACCACTGCTTTCTAATATGTCATGTCTTTTCTTCTTGTTTTCAGAAATGATCAGAACAGAGAAATAAACCTGCAACAGAATCACCGCACTAGAGCTACTGAGAGTTCTGAGACTGAACCAAGAAACAAGCGGAATAGGAATTAGTATGAGCTTTTGCTAGCTTTTCCATACAGTGACCAGAATATGGTATTTTTTATTCCCACATGTGGTTTCATACTTAGCAGTGCCCAGGGAAGTTGTTTAATTTTAATGTAATAGTTAATTTATTTTCATTCTTCTTTGCCTTTTCAGAAAAAACAACAACAGAAAGAAAAGTTGTGAAATGACCCTTGACCCTTCTTGGTCAGTTGCTTCCTTCCTTTAAGATGTTTCTCCCCTGAAAACACATTCACCAGCTTTACACAGCTCACACATTCCTTAGTATGGGTGTTTGCCTTGGTTTGGATTCTCTATTTCAGAATGTTTTTAAGTCATTTTTCACTTTTTTCCATTGAGGGAAACCAACCCCAGCAACAGCTTCTTTTCGTCGTAACAAGTGGGAAAGAGTGTACATGTTTTGTTCTAATCCACCCTCTTTGTATAAGTGCCCGATGCCCGGCCACCAGCAGATACTGGTTAGTACTTAAGATGAATGTATTTGTTTGTTAGACACACCTGTGTTTTACATATAGAGTAGGTTTATGATGTAAAGTTACAGAGTTAGTTTTATTATTTTTGAAAAGTCAGGAAAGTTAGTATTGTAATTTAAGTAACAATCACAATAACTCCAAAGCATATGTATGTTTTTCTGAAATGGCACTTAAAAATTATTACTGTTAGTATTTTTCCACTGGGGTCAGGCAGATCTCTAACACTTTGAATCCCAGCTGTTAAACAAACAAACAAAAAATGAAATAAATGGATTTTATCAATGAATACACCACAAGTTGTAATTTCCTTGAAATAGTGTCTTGTGAGTATTTGAATAAAGACTATAAATCTTTATATTGCATTTGTCATAAAATTTGTTATTGTGTGCAAAATGCCTTTAATTCCCAAATTTCCCTGCCTTTGTTTGGCATTTCAAAGCCAGTCTACCCCTCAGCCACTGCCTAGCCCAGACACACAAGCTTTCACACACAGCATCACATATGGTGGGGTTACAACAATGAGTCTGTTGCTGGGAAAACCATTTATGGCTCCTCCTTTCCAGAGAATATCTCTGTGGACATTGGCTTTTTGCTGTGCTTTGAGGCTTCTGACAATGTGTGTGTGTGGCAGGGGGGTGGGTGGGGTGTTCCTCATTATGGCAAGAGTTGAATGTTTTCATACTGGCATTACCACTGATAGTCCTTATGAGTTCCCTGAGTTTGGGAAACAGACAGCAAGACCACTCACTGAATCTATTGGTGGGTCTGCTGTGAAATAAGTTGTTGCTGGATCCTAATGGCTCCCCCAGGAGAGGGGATGAGAAGGCATGATGTGAATGGCACAGACACTGGGAGTCATTTGAAGGCAAACAACGAACTCGTTTATTCAATAACAGGGAAGGCCTTATATACCCTCCTCCCAGCACCCAATCTGGTGGCATTGTGTGGTCGTTCCTCATTAGCTGGGCAGGATCAAGAACTCTTGACCACGCCTGTTGCTAGGCCCTCAGGCAGACTCCAGGTTGGCTCATAAGGGAGTACATTATGTGCATGCCTTGGCAACTGGTTTGAGCCAATTTCCTCAGCCCTATGCGCCTGTTCTACTACAATAAGTGAGCAGAGGTTAACACTGACATGTTTATTATTGCTGAGTTACCAGGAGTAGGCTACAGTGAAAGCCATGTTTCATTTCAGATGACATAATCAGCCACACATTAAATTGGAAGCAATGTTCTATTTGCAGCAAAAGCAGTTTGCAAAGGAGAGGTGAAACACAAACTGGGAAACCAGGCACATGGATTCAGAGAGTAACCTATCAGTCACTCTACCGAATACTTGGAATATTCCGATGGCCAGCAGTCGGTACATTCTAAAACTGGTTCTCTCAGTTTGTACCTCAAGGACAGTTGAACAGAATGTGGAGATAGTTTTACTATTACTTGAGGGGGTTGGAGGAGTGTTACCATATGGGCAGGGGCCTGGGCCACTGTTAGACATTGTCCTACCTTATCACAGTGAGCATTGATTTTCCTCACAGTTCTAGGGCCCGGAAGGCTAGATCAATAGGGTGTCTTCTGAGGCCTCGCTCCTTTGCTTGGAGACAGCTGCCTTCTCAAAGTGTCCTTAAATGGTCTTCCCTCTGCACATGTGTCTGTCTGATCTCTCCCTAGGAGGACACCTATCATTCTGGTCAGACCCATTTATGTGACCTCATTTTACTTTACCTCTTTAATGAGTCTCTGTAAATACAGTCTTAATAGCAAGACTTCTCACATTTATGTCTGGGAGGGGCACAGTTTAGCCTGTAAGCTCCAACAGTAATTGTATTGGCCAGTAGTTCTCAACCTTCCTAATGCTGCAACCCTTTAATACAGTTCCTCATGTTGTGATGACCCCAACCATAAAATTGTTTTTGTTGCTACTTCATAACTGTAAATGTTGCTACTGTTATGACCGTAATATAAAAAAAAAATCTGTGTTTTCTGATGGACTTAGTCTACCCTTGTGAAAGGGTTGTTTAACTCCCAAGGAGTTTGGGACCCTCAGGTTGAGAACCACTTATCTAGGTTAAACTTTCAGTGGTACCAAGATTATAATGACATAAAGGAGCTCTGTGCTGATCTGAAAAGCAAAACTTAATAGGCATTGCACTTAAGGCCTCTACATGTTCAGTGAAGGAGAAGTGTTTCTACTTGACAAAGACTGGGGAACTCAGTACACTTGTTTGATCCAGAATTGGATGTGATAAGCTCCTACTTATAAAAATTCACCTTAGTATAATTGCAATCTTTACCCAACTTCCTGCCATTCACTAGCCATTGATTCTTTTTTCCCTAACTGTCCTTAAGGACATGATGACTGCCATCTGTTATACTGACTCACAATAGCAGTGACACACAGTTTGGGTGAATGGGTGGATTTACTTGTATTTATATATGGGTGTGGGTACACACATTGCCATGCTCTGCATGTGGACATCAGAGGACTACTTAAGGGAGCTTGTTCTTCATTATGTGGGTCCCAGGATCAAATTCAGGTCATCAGATTTAACAGCAAGTGCCTTTATCCTATGAACCATCTCACTGGCCCCCACTTGTATCTTATAGAGGCACATCCTTCCCTTAGTATTTTTAGGTATCATCAGGCCTCAGACCATTCAGAATTCAGACATAGGTGCATGCCTAAGTATGTTGCTGCTTCCCTGACAGGTTGTTCCAGGCATCTGTCCCACTTCCAACCTGTCATAACAGGTCCAGAGAGAAAGCCTGTCTTGCTTAGAATGCCATCCCTGCTGCACCTACTTCTGGCCCTCCTGGTCTTTCTGCGTTTTAAGTGGAAGTGATGAGAATGGGCCCTTTCTAGTTTGATAGTGCAGCTTTGATCTGGACCCTTTGTGTCCCTCATCAACAGCTACATCTTGTATGTCCTTCCTTCAGCTACTAGGACTGAATGTTAAGTGGTGTACAAAACTGAGAGCCCCTGTTGTAGACCAGGAGAGAGAAGCATTTGTCAGGTAATTACACAAATTAGCACAGCTACCAGAAGTGCAGCAAAGGAAGGGATGTGTCATTGTGGAAGAACTGGCTTCTCCAGGACTACCTCCCCCCAAATACACACACACACACACACACACACACACACACACACACAC